ACCCAAAGGCTTTGATCCACCCCAACAAGTCCAGTCTGAGGCCAACACCTGGTCCTGAAAAGCTCATTTAGTGTTTTTGTATGATCAATTCCTCCAGTACAATGAGGTCTTTGACCCATTACTTTCCTTTCTGAATCAGGTACTTTGGGTATCCCCTAATGAGACCAAGCCACATCAGCGCCGGATTTGTCTCCCACTTCCCTGCGGTGCTCGGCCCAACGTCTTATCTTTCCAATGTGGCGACGTCGGCTAAAGCCACGCAGTAGCCAGGAGAGCGGAAGAGGCTAAAAATGAGTAAACATTGCTCTCTTTGAAGCAGCGGGTAGGTTTTGCGAAGTGCCAGCGGCTTTTAGTTGTGCTCAAAGTGGAGTGCAGGCATGTTCAGACCGGGGCAGATTCTATTGCCATCAAACCCTGGTTCTCCTTAAATGCAGGAAGCTCTTGGGGTTGGAGGGTGGACCAGAGCGGAGGGTTGGCATGTTCATGCACCAGATAGCAATGCTTTGGTGCTGTGTTCAGGATGGAAGCTCACCGGTGAGGGCGAGGAGTATTGCAAGAATGGCAGCCCTGAAGTGCAGGTGGGGATTTCCAGTTGGAAGTAGGGCTTGAAAGTTGGTATTTGTATCAGTAAAGCAGTATAATTGTAGACGTTCTACCAAACAACGTGTCCGAAGGATCAAGGGGCAGGGTTGTCACGGAACGCTCGACAGACATCCATATGTGCGTGCCCCTTATGAAGAGGTTTTTCAATTCAATTGGGGGAGGTTGTTGATCAAGAGTCTACAAAGATGATTACACTGATTCATGATTTGAACAACGCCGTGACAAAGTTCTAAGCATCATCGTCTACTACCTGTAGGATTCAAAGCACCAGCGATTTTCCATGGGTTTTACCGAACAATCGCTTTTTTGCTAATGGTTTCTTAACTAGAGCACCAGGGGTCAACTTTCTTTAATATGGTCTTTCCACTTTCGAACATGTGTGTCTCATACAACATACACCATATGCTATCATACGCTTGACCGTTCAGACGTGCTTGACCATTGGACACCTCCACAACAAATGACGCACACACACAGATTTGTGTGTTCTATAGCCTTTCAAAATCATTTTGTCAAACACAGTTTTGTGATGTTTTGTGATGTAACATCCTCAGATCCTCGACGGTTGGTCGCCAGACGGTTGTGCAGACGATGGTTTTTATCGTTGGCGACCCAGTCGGCAACAGCCGGCAACAGGTCTTCAACTGCATCAAGGCCAAGGGCTCCATGTCCAATGCGGATTTGGATAGCCAACTGGGCCCAGTGGCAAAGATCGGTTCCTTGACTGCTTCGAGCAATGCAGGCTGCAGTAGCATGCATCACATACATGAACAGTGGGCCGAGTAGAGAAGCTGGTGAGAAAGAAAGGACGAAGCAGTTTTGTGATCGATTCGACTTGCAAGATTTCAACCATTTTTGAATCGATCTGGTGAAAGGAGCTGTCTCCCTGAGACAGATATCATTGTCATATGGTGAGCTAAAATATATCAACTTGTCACGAGTTTTTTTTCTAAACTTTTGCTTGTTCTTGTTGTTGTTGTTGTTGTTGTTGTTGCGGATCTTTATGAGATTCATTTGATGTCTTCTTACCGCCCAAGAATTCCTGTTCACCCAGGTCTGGGCACTTGCATGAAGAACAAGTGGGTGGCCATCGACAAAGCCACCAAGGACACCGGGAGACACCGGAAACCCCAACAATCGGACTGGACCAAAACGGCCGACGGGCTGTCGATGTGTACTTGTTCGGCGAAGTTCAGCTGGTCGACTTCCTAGGATCGAAGACCTGGAACTCCGAGAACCACATTTCCTAACCTGGTGTTTATTAATTCCCCAAACAGTGTGGGCACACTGAGGGGTTCTTACGGTAGTAAAAAGGCAGATGACATTCCTATTTTTTTAAAGGGTTTGAACCATCATTCACAGTTGGAAGATCCAGATAAATATTCCAAGTCCTATGAATGGTTGGGATTTGCTTCGAGCCTGAGGTTGGTGTGCATCGACTTGAACGGCTTCGCTACGGACCCGGATCAAGACATCCTCCAGTCGATGGGTGGTTTTGGAACCCCACGACGTAGTGGTACGTGGTGAAGACAGGGTGCACCGATACTCGCATCCAGCCGTGACGTGGGTAGAGACATCTATGACACCGAACGAACCATAAGGAATCCATATCCATGTGCGATGGCAATGCCGCAAGCCAGAATGCCACAGCCGGGGAGGACCAGTATTGTCATTTTGTATCATTTTGAAACATACTTTTGGAATCTCTTCCCTTCAAACCAGGCTTCTTGACTTACGGGATGTCATTGACTTCCTAACCTACACCCCTTCTCTTTGCACCGGGTGATCAGTCGGTAGCAGTTCTTCTTCTTCCACCGGCTGCGGGCTGCGGGCTGCGGGCGCCACTGGTGCCAGGTGTGCAGTTGTTCCGTGGAGAGCGTGGAAGACACGGTGAAGGACGAACTCACGTCCCTGAGCAGCTTGGACAAGGCGCGCGGAGCGGAGAAGCACGGTCGGTCGCCACGTGCGGCGGCTGAGACCGGTGGACTGAGAAAAGCGAGGGCACTGCGGTGCACAGACGAGGCGTTTTGGTCGTCCGGATGCGAGGAGGAGTCATTTGACTGGGGTGCACGTTCGAACGTGGCGTGCAGAATACTTGGTGTTCCATTTTTGGATGGCTGAATGGTTTGTCATTTGATATTGGATTGGATTTTGGATGTTTTGGGACAGAGTATGGTGGGGCCGGCGGAGAGGAAGGAGATCTTTTGCGTTCGCCTATGGGGTACCTAAAGCTGGATGGCTGGCTGCTATAGCAAGTGCGGTGTTCATGAAAGTGCGGTGTTCAACGCTTTGCACTGAGCAGGTTGGTCTCAGCGAGCGGCAATGATTCTTGAAAAAAAATGAACATATATAGTCAATCTGGTTTCTTGGATTTTCAAAAAATGAAGTTATTGGACGTTATTTTGAACTTACTTTGAAGTTATTTTGGTTGTGTTCTTAAGCTCTATAACTTCCAAACAAGTTAGTTGCAAGTGCCGCAACTCAAAAGGCACACCCAAGTAGCTCAAGTCTTGAGTTGCATCCTGCGCCATCACTTGTTGCTCTCCCACTCCAAGACTTGGAGAAATTCAATCGATGGCGGACGTAAGATGAACGTCTTATGTCGTTTGATGTGACTGGAATGAACAATGATATTTTTCTCACGTGAGAACAAGATCCGTGAGAACAAATCATTACTGTATTCAAGTACTTGTTTTGCAGCAGCTTTCAAACCCTTAGGATTGACCCGCCAGCCCGGCACGCCGGCGCATTTGCCACGCCCGCTGTGCCATGGTTCGGATCGCTCGGGCTTTCGTATTGCCATGTTTGGCTTTGACTGGTGCGCTGGCTGCGGATCACTTTGCTGAAGGCTCCGCAGTTCAATGGCCAGATGGCCCTTTGCCTTCTATCGAGGCTGCTGAGCTGTTGGTTGAAAGCCACCAAACCAACAGCCTTGGCTGTTGCTGATGTGTTCAGCGGCAAGTTGTCTAGCCTTGGCTGCTACAAGGTGCCTGTGGCCAAAGTGCCAGGCGGCGATTGAGGCGTTGCGCGCGCACGGCAACAGAGGCAGCGCCGAGAACAGGGATGGCATTGACGTAGATCTTGAGACTGGCGCTCATATTTTGAGCAGGGAGGACTCGCAGCCAGAGCTTGCAAATATGAACCTTTCTTCCGGCAACAGAGGCAGCGCCGAGAACAGGGACAGATCTTGAGGCTGGAACGCATGTTTTGAGCAGGGGGGACTCGCAGCCAGAGCTGGCAAATATGAACCTTTCTTCCAGGAACAGCGCGACATTTGGAGAAGCAGTTAGAAGACATTATTTTGTGGCGGCGTGCAGGCTCCAAGCGCTTGCCAAAATGATGTTGGCCACGGCAACCTTCAGGAAGAGGCGCGGCGCCTGCCTTCTTATCCAGCGTGCTTGGCGGAAGCTTCAGTTCATTGATGTTCTCGGGAAATCCCTGTTGCGACAAGGACATGTCTTGCAGCAGTTCCGGGCTGCAAATGTTGACGATGATGAGCTGGTTGAAGAGACTTGGTCCGCAGAGTGGAAATGGCAAGTTCTTCAACACGCGCCTGCGTTCATCCACCACCAGCCCACAGCGGAGATGAGGCAGGAGACCCAGCGTTTGATCCTTGCCCGTTTGTGCGGCAATATTGGGGACGCAAAGCAGTCTGTCGAAGAGATGGAGCAATGCCCGCCTATGGTTTTCACAGCTTGCAAAGTAGTGGGCGGGGTGATATGCAAAGCGCACGCCCTGTCGCAAGGAGGCCGTGTTCTTGAAATCGACGGCGTGGGAGCCTACCAGTGTTCTGGCGCAGATGGTGTGCTTATGGAGCTGGAAGCCGCTGTTGGCGACGCCATCGGCAATAGGGTTTTATGCTCATCTCGGCTACGTCGGCTACGTGTCCATGGAAAGCTGCTCTCTGACAGCAGACCAGGCAGTGCAGCAAGCCTTCTTCTATTTGAGTTTCAATGCCATTTTTCGGCACGTGGCCATGATGAAGCTCTTGCGATGAAAGTGCCGGTGAAAAGGTTGCCTGTGAGTTGCCGAAGCATGGTGAGTCAAAGTAAAAGTAAGGACACAATATTAAAATGCATGGGCCATGCGGCATATGCGCATGATGTTATCGCCGACTGAAGAAAGGCAGAGGTCCAGGCATTGCGTTTTGCGTGGCCCCCCTTGGACTTATACACCGAGGTCAAGTGATCCAGGGTTCCGAACAAATCTCAATAAGTTTCTCTTCGTCGTGCTCCGAGCCGATCAAGTTTTGGAGACCATATGTTGTTTCAACCCGACCGAACTGCTTCAACTTCAGCCACTTTTTCAACCACCCCCCAAAGATCTCGTCAGACGAAGGGTCACAGTCGCCACCGCACGTTCGCAGCCGGACGTCCCGTGCAACACATCCGGGCCCGATGGGCGAGGCCAAGATCGAAGCGCTGAAGAAGCGCAAACTCGTTGCGCCCACCAGCTTAACCGCCTTCAAGGCCATTTTTCGTGGCAACTTCCCGGGCGTTGATGGCAGCGGCGCCGCGTTCCGTTTTTTTGGTGCTACGAAAAAATTGGAGAGTGGTGAGGTGAGACACCCAGAAAGAGGACGGAAATGATTTCGAGTTTGAAATCCCTCTCTATATATTATATACCCTTGTTTTTTTTTGTTGTTTCTGAAATAGTTTCTTTCGATCCAGCTGCCACCCCTCCCGCCCACGTCGTGGGCTGACCCGTGATGTCCACGTCCTTCGCCGTTGGGACGGACCGACGGGCCGACGCCCACGCAGGTGGAAAAGACGGAGAAGTTCTCCGCGGGAGATCAGAAGGCGGTTGCCGATCTCACCGCAGAGATGATCACCAAGGCAACCGGTGGAGCCGCGGAGAGTGCCACAAACCGGTGGGAAAACAATCGCCTGTAATTCGTCGCCCGGAATTTAGTCCATGGTTCTTTTCGGGCAAAATAGAGGAGAAGTTCCCTGGAATTTACAGGATGGTAACGGAATGTAAAGCTGATCGCCCATCACTATTTAGGTTTTTTTGGCAACTCTCTCTCTCTCTCTCTCCCTCCCTCCCTCCCTCCCTCCCTACTCTTGCTGACATTTGTCAGTTTTCATCAACTTAACCAAACAACCCAGTAACTCCAAACCCTATCGGGGAAGGACAACTATATAATAAGATTAGAACCTACCAAAGTGACCTGGCCGCCCGGCGGCGCCCGGCGGCGCCCGGCACGTCCAGGGCACCTGGAGCAGCACGACCTTCAAGCCTTTCAACCTGACCAATGCGAGTGGCGTGCCCAGCGCGGGCGGCCATTTGCATCCCCTGAACAAGGCGTTCTCTGGGAGGGGAGATTTGGAGAAACCGGTTCAATAGATTTCAATATAAGATAATATCCAGGATAACTCGTCTGTAATCTAATCTTTAGAGATGCTGTTGTAGTTGGTGTGCTTTACACTTGACGTTACAAGGACATTCTTTGTTGATTTTGTTTGATTCAACTGTAAAGATTGCAATATGCATGGGACACCGCTTGCTTGGACAGGATCCTCATAGGTGGCAGCGACAAGAGGGTGTAAGGAAAGTCTTTTGTTAACAAATGCATCAAAATGGTTGCTGGTGAAGGACGCAAGGACAGGACACTGATGCGAAACACCCAGGGTCAAATCCCCGAGGTCTGTGGATCAATTCCCAATGTGGCTGCAGAGGACCACCTAACGTTCCTGGTCGGTTCTTTTCGTTCCGGTGGCTTTTGAGGCGTATTCTCGATCAGCTGGATGACGGATCTCCCCAAGCCCACTGACATCGCCCCCCCCCCGCGGGGACGATGCCTTTTTTTCTCCGCGTCCTTGGACGGGAGCCAGTCCTTGCGCCCGGAGGTGAAGACGGAGATGCGCACGGTGTTGATGCAGATGGGCTTCGAAGAGATGCCCACGAACCAGCCACCCGCACGAACGACCCGAAGTCGTCCCGAGCCGCGCACCGGCACCCATCAGGTGTGCAAAGCGATCGGTGCGTCGAGTGAGTTGGTGTGTGGAATATGTGGCGGAAGAGCCTATACACCCAGTGGATGGCCACACTGACTTTTTGGGGGATAGGGGAAACACCCATGTTCACCCCATTCTTTTCTTCGTAGAAACAGCTCGGGAGTCAGGTACTGACAAAGGTATCACAACCATCAGAGAGTCGCTGGGGGATCGGATGGTGCGCGGGAAGTCGACTGAGAAGGTGCATACAGAACTCCCACAGCTACCCCTATACTTGAGCCAGGGTAGCCCCTATCCCAGGGGCCTAGGGAGCTAGCCTAGCGCTACCCATAGGCCTATCATGTTCTATGCCAGAAGGTGAGGGGGATGTAAATACTTGGTGACCCTGTCCAAAGCAGGTGTTCGTTTGCTTCCCCTTCTATTGAGACTCTACTTCTGGGAGTTCAGTGCATACCATCTATAAACCTCTCCACAGGAGCGGTGCACATGTGGTCCTCCAAATGTCTTGCAATGTTTATCCCATCAGTGCTGAACTCTTTTTGCATGGTTTGATCCCGCAGAATATGATCAGAACGAAGCCGTTAGGAAGGGTCTGCCGCATGAAGTGACGTGGTGCTCAGGTGGGTTGAAAGCTCCTTCTGGAACTTCGACGCCTTGTTTCAACCGCAGCAGTTCCCTTGCTTGACGATCAGGGGGCGGACTGTCATATTTTGGAGATGTCCCCTATAATAATCCCAAAAGAATTGCTTCAAACTGGCACGAAGAGGCATGAATAGAGTACTATAAACCAACTCGTGATAATGTATATGCTTGTCACTGGGCTTCCCACCAGGCACGGGCATTGATCACACGTGATCGCGTTGGTCCAAAAATGGTGAACCCCAAGTTTGGAGATTTCGTACCAGATACCTTTGGACACCCATTAGCACTCTTTTCGGGGGCGGACATCTGTCTGATGTCCACCTCTTTTCGGGCGGCTTGGAGGAGCACCGAAGCCATGCAGCCATGGGCTGCATGCATGTCGCCAATTTTTCCAGAGTCGTGTGAGTTTCTGGACCTCTGAAGGAGGTGTTCTTGGATTTCTTGGATTTCTATGGAGTTTTGATCCATTTTGATGCGTTTTTCAGGTCACTTCCTCCTTCGAAGTTGCCGCGAAACATCTCCTTCTGAGGCATCCGGCCCGCGATGCGCATGACACCTTCTTCATGGAGGCACCGAGTGTTGACTGACTCTGGAGCAGGGACAGAGTGTTCTTCCGGCCGACCAACTCGCTTTTGGTGTGGGCCGTCCCCAGTAAAGACATGAAGTGGGTGGCTTCCTTGAGAGTAGACACGGGAGGCCAGATTGGTACGAGTGAAGGGGATCAAAAGCAACTTGTTGGTTCATGATCATAATTTGATTCGACAGATGGTATTTCTCTGTGGATACCAATTTGGCACAGTGGATCCCCAGTGGGACTTCCATTGTTGTATAGGTGCAGGATGTTGTCTATTAGTGTGGCATCTGATTGTCAGGTGACACTGGAACTTGGACAGGTTTCGACCAAGTCTCATCTAGTGTACCCAAAGTCTTGCTTCATCAAGGTCCAAACTGTTCCCCGGCACTATGTCCCCAAGATGGCACAACATGTTCAAGATCATTTATTGGTTCAACATGATAATCACGATCATATATTAGAGTTACAAGAAGGCCTAGTACCGCAGGAGGTCTTGTGGGTAGTGTGGGTCTTGCTTGGTTTGGACCGTTGCTTGGAAACCACGCCCGGACGGACCCACACCCATCCGTGGACGCTTCTTGGCAGGCACCCAGTAGGGCTCAGAAGATCCCGGAGGACTACTTGGGGAGAGTGAAGGAGATGCACGAGCTGCCCGGCAGCAGGTGGCCGTGCCAGTAGGGTGTGCCGGTGGCCGTGCGGAGCCGGGCTGTGGGAGGGAAGGTAAGGAGTAGTCAATGCCCTTGTTACTAGTAGCTTCTTGTTACTAGTAGTAAGGCCAGGAGCCCCTAGTAGCGTCCTTTGCTCCTAGTAGCGATGCCCTTGTTACTAGTAGCTTCTTGCTACTAGTAGCGATGCCCTTGCTACTAGTAGCGATGATCTTGTTACTAAGGACGTAAGGAGTGGGATACACGTGAGACGTAAGGATCTGGAAGTTCGCGATCGGTTTCTCTGCAGATTGTGTCAGATCCTGCGATACTTCAGAAATGACAGACATCCGAGATATTGTGGACATGAAGGTCTCTTCAGGAACAAGGCAAAACATATCAACACATGCCTGGACACTGCAAAGACTGTTTGGCAACATGGGGACAAAGGCAGCGAGGGTGGGATTCATGTCGCACAAGCCCTGAGGACTGTTGTTTGGGTCTTCCATTTTCACCTGTAAGTTGCAGAGGAACACCACTTGTATGCCTATATAAGCCCAGGTATATATATAGCTTTTCAGTTAAGACTTGAGTCTAGACATGAGGCATTTGGATGAGAGATTTCTTGGACCTGATTTGAGTTGAGCAGAATATGCATTGATCATTCATCATCCAGACACGAACCAATGGGACTGGCCTATTTAGCAACATTGGGAGTTACATTGGTTGTTTCAGGGGGTCAATGGTATAGATTCTCGTCACCCTAGGGCTGCTGGCCCACATCCTCGGTGGTTAGACCCTTAGAACCCTGGCACCCACCCCAAACCACCTTGGAAATGGAGGTAGTTGGAGCCCTAGGGTCATGTCGTATTGGCCCAGTTCCAACAGCTGCCTTTTGCTACCCAGGAAGGGCGGGAGTGGATCCATTGGTTGGCGCTACGACTGGAGTGAGGAGCGCCGTAAACGGGCAAGAGGAGGTGTCGTTTGAGAGAACCGCCGGAGGGTTGGGGCGAAGGTCTTCACATTCCGACTTCGCACTGACTCTATATCACTCAGATATTAAATAGTGTGATATAGATTGATATAGATATTGTTTTTCTTCTTGTTTTTTTGACTCTATATCACACTATTAAAAGAAACAAGAAACAAACAACGCCCCGTCTTTGACGTGTTTTTCCACAAGATCAACTTAAAATCCTTTGATTTCGTCGGTGCAGTCAACTTCCAGATTTTGACCAGTTTGGGTTCACCCCACAAAGTGGGTCACCGATGGCCTGCGCAGGACACGTTTCATGGCCTTTTCGTTCCCGCGCACGGCGGAAGAACCGAACCCGCCTTACCACGTCCCTCCCCTCCCCGCCCCAAGCGCCGAAGCCGCTCGGCCCCACCGCCCAACCCTTCGCGGCGGTGCGTCGACCCGCCGGGGTTCGACCGGTCCAACCGCTCCAGGACGAGGCGAGGAAGACCCTCTTGCGGACTCACACCACCGCCGTCTCGGTGCGCCCGAGCCGTTTCCGGCGGAGCCGTCGCCCGCGTGGGACGAAGTCGCCCTCTCCGAAGGAAGAGATGGTATATACGAGGAATGGCCTATACAAGTCCAAGATCGAGCCAGTAAAGGCGAAGACCTTTTGGACCTCCTTGACGTGTTTCTTCATGTTTTTTTGGGTATTACGGTATGACGCTATAACCAACTCCAGTAAAAAGAGGTCATTGACGGAAAAGAGAATGAAGAGGGGGAGCTTTCTTTTTGTTTCGCGACTGGAGCTCTACATCGGACGTCACCGGAGGGCCCCTCGACCCCCCCCTGCGGCGCCTGCCTTCCTTCGCTGCGCTTCGCGCTGGAAAATCCCTCGTTCCTTTCGGCACTCGAGCGTCTGTTGGTCGGACGGAGTAGCCCTGTAAGTCGCCTCCCCCCTCAGAAAGTCGTCCGTCTTTACTTCCCTCAGGCCCGGATGCTCTACAAGATGGGGGAGGTGCATATTTACGCGGCGCGGCGCCGCGCGTAAGTGACCGGTCACAGCTTCGAGGTGCGAGCGACTCCATTCCTTTGACCCTGCAGGTCTAGTCTGACCCAGCATATATACCTAGAATCCATTTGACCTCTGTTTTGATAAGAAAAGACCTTATTTTGAGTGGTTGGTGGTCCAAAATAGAGGTCATGACCAGGTTCTAGGTATATATATATATATTATAATTATATATATAATAATAACCTATATAGGCACCTAGGTCTTGAACCCCTCGGTGGTGTTTTTGTGTTTTTGTTTTTTGTAATGTCCAAGTCCAGCAACATGAGGTCCCTCTTTTTCTCAGATACAACACGCTGTATACAGGAAACTCTTGGCCAGGTTGAAGCAAAGAGCCGTTGTATGGCCATTCTTGTTTCCAATTGAGTCACTGAATAAGGGCACGATGAATGCAATGAGCCGTTGCGTGCGGTGAACCAGGACTCCCGGGAGCGGTCTTTCTTTGACACTGAGGATGCACACTTCCCCAGACACGGGGGTCAATGGAGCGGTATATGGCAGTCCCATGGGTCGTGTCTGGGTTCTGTGTGCATCCTAGGAACCAACTCATCTGACCCCCCCAAAAGCTCAGACGAGCTCGAGCTCGCTCTTGAGCGGGATTTTACGGCGATCCCCACCCGACCGGGGTCCGACGGCAGGAGTACCGAAGGACCGGCGTCTTCCGACCGAAGAAGTACTTCTCCATCGACCGGGTCTTCCGAAACGAGACCCTGGATGCGTGGATCCTCACCAGGTCACACTCTGAAGGGGTTGTGCTCCGGCATGGCCTTCGGCATGGCCAGGGAGGTGGTCTCTGTTTGGAGTTGGACATGGATTTGACTATGGTGTATACTTGCTCCCTGTGTTCTTCGGCTCTTCCCGGTTCTTTGAGCAGTCCCAAAACCGTCCCCAGCGGTGTTGAGTTAATTGAGCTACGAAAAACTGTGAGGCTCTATGCAGACACTCGGTGGGATTGGCATATTGAGCTAGCAGCAGCTAGCTCCTTGTACAGAGCTATACAATCTGGGGGTGGTCGTTTCAGGCTTCAATCATATTCAATTCATTAATAATTCTAAATATTTCCAGTCCCAAAGAGGTCATCTACCATCCTCGAAGCTCTCGGGGTGCGTGGAGACTCTTTAAAGGTTTTTTGTTGGGCAGAGCTCGCAGCTCGATCCGAGCCTTTACATGAGGTGTCTCCGTCCTCAGGATTCCAACCTTTCATTGATGTTCATTGAATCCTGAATAACTCATTGTTTGACTAAGGATCTTACTGGAAAAAAATCTCATACCATGTCTCCATGTCTTCTCGGTTTGATCTGTGGGGATCCGAGATCCTGAGGCCACACACTTGGCGGAGTTCCACCAGATCGAGGGCTTTGTGGCCGATCGTGGGGGGCCCCAACACATCGATCGATCGTTCCGGCACCGGTGCCCGGCGGGCCCGGGCTACGGCAGCGCGAAGACGTCAGAGAGGTATTCTTAATGCATTTGAAGGCAGGTTCCTATAGTAGTAAGGCCAGGAGCCCCGAACGTAGCGTCCTTTCTTTCAGAGGTGTCCTTCTTTTTTTCTGACCTATTGGCCTTTATGGATGTGTTCAACATTTTCGCCTACTCGACCCAGACAGAGCCATCCGGTGGATGTCGCCGAAGAAACCGGTGCTTGAAACAACACTTCTTTCCAGCCGTTTTCTGCTGTTTTTGGTTCCTTTGGAGCTGGGTCCTTTAATTCCCATCCTTCGAGCAACGGCCACAATTGAACCCAACCCCCCCGGGGTTCGGGCTTCGCAGAGTTCCGTTTGGGATCCGATCACACCCAGGCAATATCGGCTTGCCGCAGCTCATTGGAGTGCTCCGCGACTTCTTCGCGCGCATCGGCATCTCCAAATTGCGCCCGGAGGGCCTGGTCGGACCGGCCGCCACACGTCGACCATCTGGGTGGAAAACCTAGTCCATTCGTCGCTCATTGCGTACTGAGTACTGCATGATCGGACAGAGTATGAGGTCCTTGACCTGTAAGGGTCTGTTCCAAGATGTTCTAACATATACTGTAGGTCCAAGAATGAACTGGAACATCCTGCACCACTATGTCAACATATGGTTCCAGTAATGTTCCTAGTACTTTTTGCAAAGGGGGGTTGTTGACTGACCCGTCGCGATTGAACCAGAGCGAACGTAGCAAAGACATGGCATGCTGAAGACGGGCCCGTTTGTCGCGGTCGACATGTTTTCGACTAAGAGCTGAACTGAACTCCGGGCGATCATTTCGCTCCAATTCCACGTATACTCAACAAATCAGACGACGAATCCAGACCGCAAAAAGGCTTTAAGCCCGCCTACAATCCCTACACCGAGCCTTCGATGGAGATCTTTGGCTGGGACGCACAGTCCGACCGCGCAGTCCGACCGCAGCATCCGAGCGTGCCGCGTGCCGCGTGCCGCATCGATTCTGAGTCCAGAGCGGCGGCGGTGCGAGTGACCAGGCCCATCCAAGACCCTTCTAGTTCTTTGGTTTTAGAAGGTATTTCGAGTCCTCAACGGACAGGTAAACCATGGTGAAAGCTGAACTGCAAAGGACCGTGCCTGGACCGGACAGTGAGTAGTGGATCCGAAGGAAACATCTTCCAATAACTACAACAAAAATATGCCCAAAGCGATGCTACCGGACCTAACCATCCATACATTTACCCCATTTATGACCCCAATGTAGGTAACTATTTCCATACTTGGTTTGGGCTAGATCTACTGGGTGGTGGTTTCGGATGCTTTTTCTTCTTAAACCTTTACTTGACGATGATTGAGCCCACCGACTGACATGTTTCAGTTGAAATCACCAGCCAGATCTATCTACTCTTGTGGTCCGTGCGAGCTGCAAAGCGAGATGGGAAGTCCTGCCTGGGGAAGCCCACTGCCCGGGCTGGCTTGCAAGCAGCCCCACTGGATTCTGGGGACGTAGAAGTTGGAAGAGATGGTGCCATCAACAGACCATCCACATGGTTCGTTTTGGGATCTCCCCTTAGTAAGTTTTCTTTTATATGCTGTTTTATTGCCAGGCCCTCGCGAGGGTCTGATTTCGTCTTGTGCCATCCTCGCGTGAGTATTTGGGTATGTCGGATGGCGCTTAACCCCATAGGCCCCTTATCATCCAGATCGATCTCGTGGAATCTCGGCGGTTTGTTCCGGAAATTATCCCGGCAAGAGACCCCAAACAGTGTGTGTGAGGTCTGTAAGCAGAAAGTCTAGAGATCTAGACGCATTGGGGTCCAGAGAGGTGATGGTGGTGATGAAGTGAAGGTGGGTGTGAGTGAGTGTTGTTGAGAGGGAGTGTGTGTGTGTGTGTGTGAGTGAGGGTGGGAGAGTGAGTGTGAGTGCGAGTGTGAGTGAGAGTGAGTGTGGGTGAGAGCGAGTGTGAGTGAGAGTGAGAGTGAGTGTGAGTATGAGTGAGACTGAAGGTGGGTGAGTGAGTGTGAGAGTGAGAGTGATCGTGAGTGAATGAGAGTGAGTGTGAGTGAGAGTGAGAGTGAGTGTGAGAGTGAGTGTGGGTGAGTGAGTGTGCGTGTGAGTGTGAGTGCGAGTGTGAGTGAGAGCGAGTGAGAGTCTGCGAGTGGGTGAGGAGTACAGTGTGAGTGGGAGTGGGAGAGTGAGTGCGTGAGGGAGTGCGAGTGGGAGTGAGAGTGAGTGTGAGAGGGAGTGAGTGTGGATGAGAATGAGTGTGAGTGAGTGTGAGCGCGAGTGCGAATGAGAGTGGGAGAGTGAGTGTGAGTGCGAGTGTGAGTGAGAGTGAGATTGGGAGTGTGAGTGAAAGTGGGAGAGTGAGAGAGTGAGCATCTGAGAGCACAAAGCACTGCGCCTGCACGAAATCTGCACTTCGAGGTTCACCAAGCGCTGTGCCTGCCACGAGGTCTGCACTTCGAGGTTCACCATGCGCTGTGCCTGCCACGAAATCTGCACTTCGAGGTTCACAAAGTGCTGT